GCAGTAACAAATTTACTTTTTTATCTATCGGATACAGATTTGAACACAACTCGAGTAGTGCGTGCTACCAATCTACACAACAACAAAAACAAAAAATAATTTGGAAATTGTTTGAAAAAACGAAATTAAATTAAAACTAAGCCATAAATGTTTTGAATGAAGTTCGTTGCACTTTAATTACCGCCAAATAACTTCTCACCACTTCTTCAACTTGACATTTTGACCACTACGACGGCCACACGAACGCACGTCGACACTATCAGCGGCCAATCAGCTGCCAAAACATTCCAATTGCCACACTGACCTTAACTTTGAATTGTCCCAATACCACAATGAGGGATACTATATATACATATGTACATATATGTACAATATATGCTCATATATCATCGATCAAATACATACACTACACACATACATTCACACAATGCATAGTTTTATGGCTTTTGCTTTCTTGTGAGGCAATTATGTATGTACTTATGCAATGCCACCTCGGAGGCAAGTATGTTTGTGTGCAGGAAATTCGAAGCCAGAAAAAATATTTAGGAACACATATGTATATATGTATGTGTTAGTATAAAAAATGACGCGTGCTTTAGATTTCTTTAATAATTAAATTGTTTACTAATAAAATTCGACAGCTTGAAGCAGATTTGTAGTAAATTTGCGTTTATTATGCTCATACATACATACATACACAAGTTCACGTTCATGTTCATGCTGCCATTCATGACATACGAATATGTACGCTTATTGGCAGTGAATCTGTATAACGCATGCGCACACTTAATGACCCCATTCGAGGGCTACTGACAGACATTCAGCTGCCTGACTTTGGCCGACTGTCCGCTGCTGGTGCACATGTGTGGCGCATAAAATGTTGCAAAAATGGGTTGAGAAGCTCGATGCAAATGCGCACAGCATGTATGATATTATATTCCATAAGCTCTTAAATTTTCGCAGCCGACCATTACAGTGTGCCGAAATATATATAAACGATGTTCGTATTTATGTATGTAAATATTTTAATATGCGTTTAAGTGAATGAAATCGTTTATTTTTTCTTCTTAATTCTTACAACCAACACCACGCTTTGCTGCCGTTTTAGCATAAAATACTGTTACTGCGGCTGCGGCTGTCGCTCATATACATACATATGTGCATATACTCGTTGGTATTTACTGTTTATGTTACAATCTTTTATTACCGCTTGGCGTTGTATTTAATTTGACATTGACTTAAAGTTTCAGTTTTTGCCATTTCTGTGTGGGTATATCGATCAAATGCCTCTGAAGTTTTGGTTTTATTGTTCTTCATACGCGCAGAATGTTGTTGGAAAACAGCGTGTGAATGAGAAAATCAATTTTGTTTTAATTCATTCAAAACTTTAAATCGTGATTAGTCATTCTTAGAGTCATGTGTGAGCAATCAATAGCACCACTATACGTGCACTTCGATACAGCCAGCAACATTATTTACATGCACAAAGTTGAGGTTATGTTCATAGCAAACTTTTATATATACATTCGAGTACATATCCTACACTTTGATCTCACTATTAAATTATTTTTAGAGTTTGAACCACTCACAGCGCATCCATGACAAACTGAGTCAACTTCCTCATATAACCTTTACTTGGTTTTATTTTATCTGCTTTTAAACTATCGTGTTTTTTTCATATTTGAATTTTTGTTTTTAATTTATGATAATTTTTTTAGATATAAAAATTATTTCATTTCATTTATTTTTAAATTACAATATTTAATTGTATTTAAAATTACTTTTTTTTATTTGATCTTATTTTATTATATTTTATTTTATTTCTTCTCCTTTTTATTTTATTTATGAATTATATTTAACCCAGATTTTTTTTATTTTTTTTATGTAATACTAATTTATTTGATGCTTAATACTTTTTAAATTGATAATAGTTTTTTATTGTATTTATTTATATTATCTTTCCCTGCAGTTAGTTTTATTTCCTTATTACTACATTTTCTTACAGCACATTTTTCTCATTTTTTTATTTTAAAATTTAAATTATTTCTGATCCTCATTTTTTATTTTTATATTTATTTATTTGATTCCAATTATTTATTTGTTAATTTATTTATTGTATTTAATTTAGCTTAAATTTGTATAATTTCCCTTTACCTTCTTTAATTTTCTTACTTTTCTACTTTATTTTATTCTAACTTACGTTTTCCATTTTATAAGTTTTATTTTTATACTATATTTTATTTTTTTTATATTAATTCATTTCATTTTATTTAATTTAAATTATTTTTTTTAGTTCATATTTTTTCTGTTATTTTATTTTATTTTGTTTTATTTGATATTATTGTATTTTTCTTGTATATTATTTCATTTAATTTTTAATATTATTTTATTTCACTTTACATTAATTTATTTTGTATTTTTTTCTAATTTAAATTTATTTAATAATTTTATTTTTTTATTTCATTTTACTTATTTTTGTTAAATTTATTTTATTATAAAATAGGTTTTTTTTTAATACTGGTTTTATTATTACTTCACCTATAAAATTTTATTTAAATTTTATTTTATTTACTTTATTTTATATATTTGATATATTTTAACTCACTTTAGTTTATTTTGTTTTAATTAAATTTCTTTTATTATTATTTTTTTTCTACATTTATTTTGTTCAATTAATTCTTTTAGTATATTTTTAATTTATTTTATTTTATTTTATTTTATTTTATTTTATTTTATTTTATTTTATTTTATTTTATTTTATTTTATTTTATTTTATTTTATTTATTTAATTTTTTATATATAGTTTGATTTCATTTTATTTTAGTTTCTTTTATTTAATTTTTTAAATTTTTTTTCTTATTTTAATTTGTTCTAGTTTACTTTATTTTATTTAATTTTTCATTTTATTTTATCTGTATTGTTTTATTTTTAAAAACAGATAAAATAAAAAATCTTATTTTATTAACTTCGCACTAGTAGTACTATGTTTTATTTCATTTTATTTTTTTTTTATTTAATATTTTTAATTATATTATTTTATTTTAATTTATGTCAATTCGTTTTTTAATTCGTTTAAATTTTATTTAACTTAGTTCATTTGGATCTTTTTAACTTTATTATTTATTTTAGTTTAGTTTATTTTTATTTTGTTATATTTTGCTGTACATTAATTAACTTAGTTTTTTAATTCTATTTCGGTTTATTTTATTTATTTTTTTATTTATTTAGTTGTAGTCATGATGTTTTATTTTATTTCATATACTTTCCTTATTTTTTTTTTAATAATCTTACTTTATTTGATTTTGTTTAATTTTATATTTTAATTCGATGTAGTATAGTATATTATGTTTTATTTTAATTTTTATTTTCACTTTTTAGTTTCATTTTAATTTACATTTTTTTAATTATTTGCTTTTAATTTTTTAATTTATTTAATTTATTCTGTTATTTATTATTTTAATTTATTTTACCTTATTTTATTTTATTTTACTAAATTTTATTTTCGTTTATTTTGTTTTATTTCAATTTTTTAATTTGTGTTATTTTATTTCTTCTGATTTTATTTGATTAAATAATTAATTAATTTTTTTTTAACTTAAATTAAATTAATTTTTATTTTATTTTATTTTCTCTTATCCATCGGCCTGCCACTCTGCTGTCCTTCGATATTGTCTACAATATATGATTTTAACTCAAATTCATAGCCTAATATACGAGTATGTATAAGCAATGATTGTTAAATCTACTTGTGTAGTGCATACCGAAAGATTTAATCAATGAAATCAGCCCACAACCATATGTGTACTTCTGCTACTTCCGTATGCCAGCTGAGCTAAAAAAATATTTTATTGATATTTTTTCTTTTTATTTTTACTCAAGTATGGCTTGATATTTTGATAAAATTACAAATATGGCAATACCGGTGGGATATGCAGTATTCTATTTTTATATTTGACAAAAAGATTTTTTTTTTCAATTTAAGAAAATAAAACGTGGAGCATACATATGTACATAATGAAGTGTGAAAATAAAAAATTTTAACATTTTTCAATATTCTCTGCATGTAGGTTTGTGCACGTTAAATATCATATGTTTGCACCCGCAATTTAAATTTTTAATTTTATTTTTAAATAAAATATTCAAATCGTGTTTTATTAATAGTTCGAAGTTGTTTTTCAGCTGGAAAAAATCCCATTTATGGCCAAATCTTTTCTGCAAATATTATATCCAAGTATATATATATGTATATATGTACATATGTATATGTTTGTATTCTATCGTTTGCCAAGTGTTGATTTACGTGTATGACGCATTTTATTCGTTTCAATTGAATCTGAATTGATTTGATTTTTCAACAATAGACAGCAGACAGCTACAGGTGTGGGTGCCATCTCGTTTGGCGCGCTCGATAGTCAATACATGTGCGCAAAGAATCAATCATACAAACATACATATGCAGCTATGTGTGTGTGTATGTGTTGCTATATTTGTACATTTCTGCACATTAAAATAGCATTGCAATATTTAATACAATTAACAAATCTTATAATGAATTGAAATGGTACGTATGTAAGTATGTAAAATATGAATGTTTTTTAAAGTATTGCATTTTATTAATGTAAGTAAGTTTGCTTGTTAATTATTACAAGAAATGCAAATATAAAGAATATAAATACTTTTGCATACTTATTTACATGAGACCCCAGCTCCTGGAGAATTGATGCTGCAGATTTAAGTAGGCGAAATCACATCTACACTCTCCTTTAGCAAAGTGGCCACATCTTCGGATTCTTTACTTTTAGCTTATATTTATTTTTTCTTCTTCTTGAATACGTATACAAATCTTATCCGGAAGTTACCATAACTCCCACCACAGTATCCTTCTACATATGTACGTGTTTATACATAAATCAGTTTACACTGATTAGAATAAATGTGTCTGTACTTGCGTTAATCCATTAATACAAATTAAAAAGACATTTTTCATTTTCTCATTTCAGAAAATCTGCAGATAACTTGACTCGATCATACGTAGGTATGTAAACATATTTATACATGTATGTACAACGAACTAACATACACATTTACAACTTTTAAATCCAATGTCCAGTGGTAAATAGCAATTACCTACTCAAAGCCATAAATAATAATAAAAATAACCTACGACACAAGAGGTGTTGCGGAAAAAGTAAAAAAAAAAATATATGAAACTATATAAATTAAAAATTATTTATAACTTAGACGAATAGCAAGAGACACAATAATTTAAATAAAATCAAATCCAGGAAAAGAAAAATATTAATTAAATATGAAAACCACAAATAAAATAAAATAACATAACATAAGATAAAAACTAAAAATTTTAAATAAAATTAAATTTAAATAAAATTAAATTAAACTAAATAAAATATATAAATTAAGTTAAATATGTTAGAATTAAATAAAAAAATATGACATAAAAATAAAATAACTTCAAAAAAAACTAAAAAATTTTAATTTAAATTGAATTAACATGAATTAAAATATCATCAAATGAACAAGTATACTAAGATTAAAATAAAATCACTTAAAGCAATAAATAAAATTTAAAAAAATAAAAAAGTTAAATAAATTTTATAAAAAATAATTAAATTAAAGTAAAAAAAATTCATAAAACAAAAAATATATAATTAAAGGCAAAAAAATAAAATAAAATCAAAGCAAAACAATTAAGTAAAATAAAATTAATTTAACTGAGAATTATAATAAAAACAAATTAAATAACCAATTGAAAGAAATAGAATAAAATAAAATGAAATGAAAAGAAATGAAATAACTAAAAATATAATTACATAATATAAAATTAAAATAATGAGAATAAAATTAAATAAAATTAAATGAAGTCAAGTGAAATAAATAAAATAAGATAACAAACTAGTTAAAATTAAATGAAATAAAATAAAATAAAATAATGAAATGAAAAATATATATATTAAAGGTATAAAAAAAATTAAATCAAAGCAATTAAATAAGGTAAAATTAAATTAAATTAAATGAGAAATATAAGAAAAATAAACTAAATAAGCAATTAAATGAAAAAGAATAAACTAAAATAAAATGAAAAGAAATTAAATAACTAAAATTATAATAACATAACATAAAATTAAATTAACGAGTCTAAAATTGAATTAAATGAAATAAGACAAAACAAATAAAATAAAACAAAATTAAATGAAGTAAAATGAAATAAATTAAATATGATAAAAAATTATGATAGTATCTAAAAATTAAATATAATAGAATAAAATGGTGAATAAAATTAAATCGAATAAAAAATAGATAAGTTAAAGTAAAAATAATTGAAAAAACAAAAAGCTATTTATTAAAGGTAAAAAAGTAATATAAAATCAAAACAATAAATTAAAGTAAAATTAAGTAAAATTAACTGAGAATTTAAATAAAAACAAATTAAATAACCAATTAAATGCAATAGAATAAAATGAAAAGAAATGAAATAACTAAAAATATAATTACATAATATAAAATTAAATTAAAAAGAATAAAATTAATTAAAATTAAATTAAATGAAATAAGGCAAAATTAAATGAAGTAGATTGAAATAAATAAAATAAGATAAAAAATTAATAAAAATTAAATTAAATGAAAAAAAATAAATAAAATTTAATAAAAAATAAGTAAATTAAAGTAAAAATAAATGAAAAATAAAAATAAATATTAAAGGTAAAAAAATAAAATCAAAGCAATAAAATAAAGTAAAATTTATTTATATAAAATAAGAAATATAATAAAAATGAATTAAAAAACTAATTAAATGAAAGAGAATAAAATAAAATTAAATTAAATTAAATGAGATAAGACAAAACAAATAAAATAAGATTAAGGAAAATTAAATAAAATTAAATGAAGTAAAGTGAAATTAATAAAATAAGATAAAAAATTAGCAAAAGTGAAATTAAACGAAATAAAACAATGAAATTAAACGAAATAAAAGAAATGAAAATGAAATAAAATAATAAAATTGAATTAAATAAAATTAATTAAGAAAAATAATAAAATTAAATTAAATAAAATGGAGGAAATAAAGAAAAAAAATATAAATGAATTAAAATTAAATAAATATTAAATCAAATAAAGAATAAAATTATAATCAAAACAAAGTGAAATAAAATAATTTTTAATTAAATAAAGTAAATATTAAATACAATGAGAAAATTTAAATAAGATAATACTCGAAAATGCTCAATTGTCAATTCCATCCGAAGTAGCACATGTTAGCAAAAGTGTTTCTGCTTTGGTTATTAAGTTAAACTATGAGTTTCTCTTCCGCCACAAATTAAATACCAAATTTGGTGCTCCTTTATATTTCCGCTATGGTCGGTTTAATAACCACCCACTTTCTTGCATTCTTGTCCCGTCCATTGCACTTTTTAGACGGCGATGGTGACAATCTTAATTTTACCAGAAGAGCTGAGCTTGTAGCAGCGTCACCTTTCATCGTCGAAATAAAGGAATTGGATATTTCAGAAGCCAGCCCTCAAGTCGTGAACCTAGAAAACTTTGCAGAGGTAGTCATCATATGGATGTTCTCCCTCCGAGGGTTTGCTTACATTTTTCTTTGGGTTAGAGTTTTATGTGTGGGTTCAGTGCCTCTTACATATGACCACAGGCGGGAAGCCTTCTCTGGTTAGCTCCACATGAATGGCTATTAAATGGATATTTGGTCTAAGACATGTCATGAGCTGTTTGAACCATATGTAAAACAATCATTTCTGGTCAATGCCAGTTGAACTTTCCTCACTTGCATGGACCTCTGCATCCCTAAAATTATATGAGCAGCAAATATTATAATAAGAATAAAAAAAAAATAATATTAATACTTGAGAACCCAAACGTAATGTCTAAGAAATTTGATTTCTAAGCTTATTTTTTCTAAATTTCCATTTATATATGAATGCGCCTGGCAAAATATGTACACATAGTGAATTATGGTAAGTGTTATTTTTCGCACAAATCATTTTCGCAGCAGCAGCCGGCGTTATGAACAGAATTCCTCATAGACATTTAACGACTTGTCGCCATTCAGCGTTTCAAATGTATGCAAACAAGTTGCGGCGACATTTCTGCCTTTTTTCAGTTTGCATTTGGCAAATAATGATAGAAGATTTTTTTTTTGCTTTTTTTTATGCTGCTGGCAAAAATCCATTGTTTAATTATGTTAAATTCGTTATTGAACTGTTTTGTTTGAATTTATTTGCTTTTTTTTTGTTTTAATTCTTGGGTTCGAAGCGGCGAAATCGTGCTGAAAACTTGTTGCACACAAGTCCAATGCAAAAGTGCATATGCGCCAATGCATGTACATGTATGCATGTATGTATGTATGTAAGTTATATGCACGAATAAGCATTGCATGCCAATGCGTGTCAAATAAAAGTCGTACAACATGACATCTACGGCATTTGTTTGTCGTATTTACAACATTTACATTTTTTCAGTAAACTTTTTTTTTCTTTTTCAAATGTAAACATTTTTACATCGCCTTCAGTGCATTTTGAATTTCGCAAAAATTTTTTTTATGAAATCAATTTATGGCGAGAAATCAATTTACTGTCAACGTTTTTTTTTTCTAAGCAAATTTAAATTGCTGCAATTCATAGCGCTGAAAATTAAAAAAAAATCGAAATAAATAAAAGAAAATATAAAAGTGAATGCGAAAATATTGCAATATTGTTCAAACCTCTCATATTCTCTCTTTCGTTCTACATGTTAACTAAGCGACACTGTTGTTGTAATATATGGTTTTATGTGCATTTTTTTATTGCAACATAAAAGCTGTCGATCATCAATGAAAGTATCACTTATCATTGCATGTCAATTGTTTTCAAGCCAATAGAGGCTAATAATTATTGTGAGCGAAAGGAAAATCAAAACGTACATATGTGCATACATATATACGTGTATGTATGTGCATGCGTGTATGTGCGAATGAATCTAAATCAAAACGACCTCAATCGATCTACAGACATCCTTTTCCTTTTGGTTTTCTACATATTTCTCACTTTCGTTCAATTCTTCAATCTGCCAATGATTGATGCTAAATCAGGAAGTCTTGATGGCTACCAGCGCATTTAGCAACGCTGAAGCGATGCATTGTAAGCACCGACAAAGAGAAGAAGAAGATTGACTTCTTTGCAGGCATTACTTGGATAAAATTTTTATTTATTTTGTAACTTTTTAGGTAAAAACGACAAAAATGTTAAAAAATCAATCAGCCTTTCAACAATATTCATATATTGTACTTTATACTTTATATACTTTATTAATTCAATATATTGTATATATATATGTATCTGTATTTTTTCCCCCTAATTTCTATGACTAAGTAATCAATTAATATTTGTTGTACTTGAAATCAAAAATTAAATGAAGATTTTCCTACTGAAGATTTATCATTTTCTATTCGTAGGAGTAAATGCCATTAACATATTTCAAGGTTACTGATGGATATTGTGACTAACTGCTAAGAAAATAATAACTAATAATATGATTTGAACACTTTTAGCACTTTAAATGAATGAATGATTCTATCAAAAAAAAAAAAAGCAACAAAGAAAACTGGCAGCACTTTAGTAAGGCCAGCAACAACAAAAACAGCGTCAGCTATTTAAATGTTTTTATTAAAGTTGAGCTTAGTAACAAATTGCAGTAGCGAAGAATAATTGAAAGACTTGCAGCAATCTACAGCAAATAACTTTAATCCAAGTGAATATCGCCGGCAAGTTGTTTTTATTGTTGCTGTTGCAAAAAAAAAATATAAATATAATAATAAATAAATACAAGATGCGCTTCTCGCATAATAAATTACTAAGTGCAAGGCAAGGCGCCGCACGGTAGTCCAGAGGCCATTTGTACAAATGATAAAAAATTGTAATTTTAAATTGTAATTTCTTTAATTTTTAATTTTGTAACTTGTTTAACATTATCATAATTTACTTTGCTTAATTTAATTTTTTTTATTTTGTTTATTTATTTAATTTT